CTGTAATAAAGAAGGAGGAAGGGAGGAGGTTGAGGGGGGTGTGAACAGCAAAACAAAACCACGTTTGACACTTGCAGTTGCAGAACATCAGTATCCATGTTTTAAAATGTAAAAGTAAATAAACAAATGCTAAAAATAAACAACAACAACAACAACAACAACAACAACAACAACAACAACAACAACAAAATAAACAAGCAATGTGTGTTTCGACGCCTCATTCAGCATGGAAAAAAACCCATAAAAGAGACAAAATATAAACATGTAATAGGCTAATGAATATAAAGTGTCAGGGACCCGACGTTGTGTCCTTGGGAAAGGCACTTTGCACAAATTTTCCTCACTTCACCCAGGTGGAAATGGGTACCCGGCTATAGACAGTGAACGACCTTGTCAGTTTGATAGTGTTTGAGCGCGTGAAACCCGCAGCTTGCACTGTATGCTTCCACGGAAGCCGAGTATGTTTCTGAGTGTTGTCAGGGGGTCTGCTGGGGTAATAATAGTTGTAAAGCGCATAGAGCATGCTCTTGAGCATGGATATGCGCTATATAAATGCAATTATTATTTTATAGAAATAAGCAAACGTGAATAGATTATTTACTATCCACTTTTGGTTTAGCTAAGTAAGAGTTTTACGGCACTGGCAACATTAATTTGGTCATATAAGATCTGAAGATTAGAGGTGTTATTTGACATGAACATGAATACCAATAAAGAATGTGGAGAGAGATAAGAATGATAGATTGTTGAAAAGTAAGAAGGAGCAAACCACACCATAGCACCCGCCAGCCACTCACTTTACTATTTTCATTAATAGACAGTAATAGACACATGGATACGAATATAAACGAATACACACACACACACACACACACACACACACACACACACACACACACACACACACACACACACACACACACACACACACACACAAAATAATAATTCATAAATAAGCTCATAAACGCGGCAACGTGTTAACAAATTCTCTAGATTCTAAAAGTTTGCAGTACATCTCAAATGTTCAAAAGTCAATATTTACGCTCTTCTGGCCTATATTTAAATGCATTTTATATACCTGGCGTATGTGGATGTGGATGTGTGTGAGGGGGGTGGGAGGTCCTTTTGATTGTAA